CTCTCTTGAGAAGAAAAATAAATACATCTATTACTACACGACATATTTAAAAAAAATTAATGCCATTTTAGTTTTTTGTTACTTTGTTCTGAAAGCTGAACCTGCTGCTCCTCACAGAGAGAAGAGGGAAGAGGCTGTGAATTACTTTACATTGTGGATAAGGGTGGATAGCCCCCATTGTTCTGTGTGTCAAAATGAAAGACAGCCCACACACCTATCAATCATCAAACCGTGGGGTCTTATTTCAGTCATGTTGTTATTTCTATCAACACGTAATGTTGTATCGATCAGTAGCGTGGCGTGGGGAAAAATGTAGGGGAAGCCCATTTTTTGGGTCGGGGGGGGGGTCAATAACGTAACCAGATGAGTGATTACAGCGCCTGGTATCATTTGACACACATTTGTATCACACAGATGCAGGACTTGCACACGCCTGTTATCTAACCGACAGGTCCGCATGCACTCTCCAGCTGAAACTCTCTCCTTATTAATTTAAGCATTTTACTTATTAATGTATGCAGACAATCACACAATCTATGTGATTTTTGGATTTACCGTGCCTCTCAATTGCCCGTGACAGGTCGATGAATCCTGAAGTTGCCCAAGGATTGTTCAGGGAGCACGAATCCTTGTCAAAAAGAAGACATGGCCAGCAAAATAGACGCTGAAGTTTAGCGCTTCCAGTTAGCCACTCCGTGCGGACATAATTGTCCTCATTGAACATCCGATTCTCTCCCTTTTTCCTCTGTGTACACCATAGACTGGTGTACACACAGCTGGAGTGCGGGCATTGGCCTGTCATCTGATTTAATTTGTAGTTGCTGCTGTAGCGGAAGTTTAGTAAAGTTATGTTTGATTAAGTACGCCAAATCTCCACCCTCCATAATGCTTCATTTGCTTGATAATTTCTAACGCCGGTGATGACAGTTACAGTATTAAAACTGATGTTGATGTGATTTGATTGGATGGCAGTGTCCAATCAAATCGCCGGCCGCCTCTGAAGGGAAGCAAGAGGCGGCTGGCTTCCCTTGGCATGGCCCTGACCAATCACAGGTTGGCAGGGGCATCACGTGGGCCTCATCTGATTGGTCAATCCCTCCATTTTTTTTCACCAAGGGAAGCCAGATTCGGCTGGCCTCCTCTCGCAGCAGAGAGTGCAATCTACTGTTTCACCATAACATCTAGAGGGGCGCTGTTTGTTTCACTCTTTGTAAAATACTCAATGAGAATGGGGGAGGGCCGGGCCGGCAGCAACACACAGCAAAGGAGAATTATCGAAACAAAACTAAGTGTTTTTATTTATTTATTTAAATTATAACTACAATCCGAAAAAACAGGGGAAGCCTGGCTTCCCTTGGCCTCCGGGAGAAAACGCCACTGGTATCGATGTATATAGAGATGTACTACAGCAAAAGTTTTCTCCGTCGGGACTTCCTGCAACAACACCACGCCGTTATCGTGATTCTGATTGGCCAGAAGACATTATCAAAGGTGTTCTATTGAGAAGACGATCACTACGTGACAAAAGTTTTCAAAACCGTTTCTAGTCTTCGGTATTTCCAGACAAGTGGCTACTGAAATCAATCTTACTACTAACTGCTGTCTGTGCAATTTACTCCGTGCGAGTTGGCGGACTTTATTTTGCTTACTTTAACATCATTTTTCATGGTGGGGCTAAGGTGGGGCTAAACCATTTCTTGGTATGGCTGTAGCCTACCCCAGCCATACCCTGGCGCCGCCACTGTTGAGCAGTAAAACGTATGATAAGATTAACCTCTTTTAGTTAGCCTCTGTGATAAAGAATGTTACAAGATTGACTAAATTAAGCTAAAGTATGCTACAGTGTAACATCAAAACGCAGGAAAACAGGAAGTGACAACACACGATCAGCGTACGAATTCCCATCCTTGCGTCAGCATATAAATTGCATTTAGCATAAATCTGTTCATTTCCGGCCATAGCGAGATGAAGAATGAGTAGGTGTCATATTGAAGGAACTTCATGCTGTTGAGATTAATTACTGCAAGTGCTGAAACCTGACAACTCGCACCCCCCTCTGACTTTGCATTAACACACACCAAAATGCTCGGCTACCCAACCACACGTTCACCCTGGAGCCACTTCACTTTTCACAAGCTTTAATGAGTAAATGGAGGAGTAGCAACAGTCTCTAGGCATCTCAGGGTCACAGACTGTAATGTGAATCGCATGAAGTTGGTGATTCAGCAGTGGGAATCACAGGACAAGGAATAGTAGATTATACGCAGTTTGGATCACCTGCAGGTCTGATTTGGCTCATTGAATGTTTTATTAGAGAAACCAAGTCTCCCGCAAACCTTTTTACAAACTGGAATAATGTATTCAAACATATCTTATAAAACATATAAACTTGAAATAATACTGTGAGCGTTCAGGCTCAAATACATTATTCGATAAAACATAAATGCATTTGGACATTTAGACACTTTCACCCTGTGTGCAAGGCCAGTTAGTGGCAAAAATAGGGTAACCACTTTCATACAATCGACCGCCAGATTGGGATTTTCTTTGTTAGTTTTCAGAAGAACACGCAGGAGGTCCAAAAGTATTCTCTAAAATGTACAGAGAAAAACAGAAAAAGTTGGAGATTGCCGTGTAACTGGCAGAAAAGTATTGATGATCTGGTTGTTGCCTGGGAGAGTTATTGGAAGCTGGATTTAAGTAAGTAAGAATAATTAGGCTTAAAAAAACACTTGCAGTCAAGCTTAATTTTGGCAGGCAGAAAATTACAAACAGACATTGCGTCTGTATTCACAGAACTGGCACTAAAGATGATGATTTCATCTTAAAGATGGATACCAACTCTAAACATTTAAAGACTGAAGCTCGATGATTTATTCTAATGGCATACTGGAGTTTACATTCATCATCAGAAATACCCTTTGAGAAAGGTGCTTGTCTTGATGGTTTAACAGCATGATGGTTTACAACCTGACTTCTAAATGTTCTCAAAACGATCCAGCAATGCTGTGATGTTTCCAGATTTCAGCAACTACATTTGACTATGTTGACTACCATATACGTGATAGTAATGAAAGAAAATTACCTGCAAGTTTTAGTAAAGCAAAATTGTCCTTTATTTACCTCCAATATTCATGAGCATATAGATTTGGTACTGGCCTTCAAATGATTTGTTTATCTTTTTCATCATTAATAGTGACTAATGATGGAATATTTCCAGCCGAATTGTTTATACCTCCTCCAGTTTTGTCCTATTTCAGTGATATCTTTTTTTAAATAGAATGGGTTGAAATCTGACCGACTTTCCTTAAGACGTCAGACTGAAAAGGGAATTGTCAATTGAAAGACTCCAGCGTGCTGCCGGGCGCATTCAAATGTGAAACGCGGAAGCTTTGAAATAAAGTTATTACAGGGTCAGCCGTTTCATCGCTTAAGAGAAAAAATCAAAATAATTGTGCTCGTCGCAACGGGGGACGAAAATGAAGAAAAGAAAAAAGGCAAAAATTAGAGATGAAAGACAGCCACAGGTTAGAGCGCGGTAAAAACCGTTTCATTTGGCCCATCGTCTCATTTCTATCTTGAAAGCAGGTCTCTTTTGTTCTTTCTCACCTCCATCACCCCTCCACCCCAGCCTCACGCCCACTCGTCTTTTCTCTTTTCCCTATATTACTCAGCCTTTGCAAAGGCACAATGCTGATCATTCTGTGAAGGCCTTTCCGCCATTATTTGAATTAACAAATCCCCTGCAGGGTGCGGAAATGAATGCTAAAGAACAAAACACATTTTACATCTGTAGAGCTCCAAAGGGGTTTTCTTTCAACCGTAGATAGTTTTTCTTGATTTCACCATTTAAAAAAGTGGTAGTGACAGTTTTGTGGTGGTGATCTCCTGACTTTGCATGCAACAGCATCATCACTTCTAAATTGTAATTTGTTCAATTCTGTGGTGAGGACCAAATAGTGACCTGCAAAACCAACCACTCCAACAAATGCCTTTCCCATTTAAAATACTTGAAATAATTTTTTAGACAGTGATAGTGGAGAAAAAGATAACATGTGGGGTAGGTGAGTAAGGGTAATGACAGGAAGGGAACCAGGGACTCGTTGCTCGGTGCATTTGTGGAATTTGTTGAATGAAGTAACCTAAGCCCTCAGCGGTCAGATTAACCCAATGTAGTTTCTAGGCTGAACACATGGCGCTTTTAACATGCAAAACTAAGATGGTATTGAACTCTTTCGCAGAGCATGTGACTCAATTTTAATAACAGTCAGCTTTGGTTCACACCAGGGTTCCAGTGATGGCTTTCAAGCAGTACTACCTACTCGAAAATTGTTTCATCAACCCGATTAAGATTTAGCATTCTGACATTAGGATCTATCTAATAACATTTGCTAACTTCGTCCGATTTATTTAATCTTAGACACAATCTTATTTGTATTAGTCACAGTCACTTTATGTTTGTAACAATCCCAATGAGTTTTGAGTTCAAAATGATGTCCTCACTGTAATGAGGGTACCAAATCAGAAAATGCACATGCAAAACTAAGTTGCTGTATAACATGTCAAGTAAAAAAAAAAAACGAGAAAAGAATACCATGCCTAATTTGTCAGTGTGAAATAGTTTCATAGTTAGCCCTGACACTTTCCCCCAATATATGAACTGACAAAAAAAATCTGCAGGATGTTGAGGAATCTCAGGCATACCCCCTCCCTCTCTCCACTCCTCCCTCTCAGCCTCTATCTATGCTATTTTCAGAGGGAGAGCAGTAAGTGAAGTATTGTGAGAGGTGATACAAAAGCTTCCTTCTCAGGGGAGGAGAGGGAGCGAGAGGCAGAGGAGAGAGTTTGTAAAATATGCTGCTGACTATTCATCTCCCTGCTTTACCCAGGCTCCTAGAGAGGCCACTTCATATGCTTGGACACAAAGAATGTTCACTGTAAATAATGCAGGTATTCCACAATTTCTCCATATCTCACTTTTTTCCCCCTTTTTTCTCCAGGCCATTCGAAACGTCAGATCCATTCCAGCATATCAGCCGTAAGTAAAAATATGACACATTATCATAGATGCATTGTGTTTTTGCTCCTGAAACCAACAGGCAGTTTGTGAATGGGTTTGCATTTCCTGCTCCAAGCATTTGAGGTCACTTTGCAAGGAAAACACTTGATTTGATTTACTATGCCATCCCGTTTTCAAGCTGTGTAATCAACCCTTTTTTATTTTTTAATTAATGTCGTTTATCAGGGGTAACATTATATGCATCTTGTTTAACTGGTGGTGAGTCACCTAGATCAATATCGTGTTTGAAAAAAGTCGTATAGGAAGGTATGTCAGAAAACAGCTGCTTATTCTGTGCAGAATCAGTTCGACCACGTCTGCACGCTGCACATCAGGTAAGTGAGCTAAGATTAGTTAACATCTCCGAATTAACATGTGGGCACTACAGAAAAAGAACAGGAGGTGAAATGCATCCTAGACAAGACCCCATATTTAGTTACGGCCACAACATAAAGAATCATTTCCGGCCTCAGTTGTGACCCACAACACATATTGACAGGCCAGACCTGATAAGGTTTACAAGAAAATAATGTGTAAGGTGTATTTATATCAATATTTAAAAGCAAGCTGAACTGCAAACTAAGTTTAACAGGAGAACTGGCCAAAAAGCGGAGGGAAATCCAGGCCAGCCACACCAGGGGAAGTAGGACCCAGAGTAGGACCCAGAGTAGGTGCGCCCCCCCAATCTAAGAAATAAAAAAGCTGAAAGTAGACTACCTTCTCCTCCATCCTAGAAACAAACAACAAAGGAAGTAATGGCAGACTTAGGAGTAAACTCATATACTAAAGGCGACTGAATGCCGCAGTCCTTCAAAACCGTCCTTCTTCGCCCAGGGTGGAAGACCGAGAGAGAAAAAAATGGGGGGGGCTGGTAACAATTCCCAATATCAGACTATTAATACCTGGTTGAAATGTGCTTATGTAGGTGCTTTGGTGTCTGTTGTGTGTAAATGGGTTTGTATGTAAGGGCCTTTAATTTGACATGTGCTGCAATCATGCTTCAATTGTGCTAATGTGTTTTTGCCTATGGTTATATGCTCATGTATGTTTTATCAAAAGCCAAGGGACACCTTGCCAGGGACTACAGATGAAAGGTAGCCTCTTTGCTAAATCTGGTACATTTACATGATTGAAGTGCTGATCTAAATTAGTATGCATTGTCCCTTCTTAAATAAATACAAGAAAATGTTCATATTTGCCAAATGTAGGCTATCCTCTTAAAAACAAATATGTTGATGAAGAGCTTTTGTAGACCGTATCGTTAGCCAAACCAAGGTCAAAGAAGGAGGAATGGGAAATGTTATAAAAGAAAATGTAAAGTGAAGGCTCGAACAGCATAGTCGGGTCTGTCCAAGATATTAAAAAGCTTGACAGTGATATCTTTATAAGTAGTAGCTGATAATAGCCGTAAGCAGTAGCTGATAATACAGCTCATTCACAGACCTTTCTGCACCCTGCATCCACAGCAGCAATTTGGGAATCAGGAGTGTCAACACTGTTGTTTCCCAGCAGTTCTCTATGACTGTATCTTTGTCGCTGTGCACCACATATGATGGCTGCCCACAGTGCATATGCTTGACTGCTCCATTCGATTGCTCACTCCAGCAGCACTCTGGGAAATGTTAATAGGGGGCAGTTAACATCAGATACAGTTCACCAGCATCTGTGCTCGACCCACCATCACCCTGATGGAGAGATGGATAAAAAAAGGTGGAGAGAGAAATACCAAGTAGGGTTAAGGACGTCAAAGAAAGTAAAGTACACCCACTGCAGTGTATTGATTAATTGCTGGTTAATTGCACCTCTGTGCACTTGTACTAATGTATGTGTGTGTTTGTGTGTTTGTGTGCAGAGTTTAAATTATACTATATATATATGACTAAGAAGGCAGGAGGGCTTTTGTTTTTTTTCATGGCTGAAAACTAACCAAGACCTTCAACGGGGTCGTTGGGCATGGTCCCCTCGGACGAATATTGTATGCATTTTAATGTTTAAGTTACCAATATAGGAGCTTGTTTTCTGTTAAACTTACAGAAAACAAGCTCTGGTAAAGTTATAGTGATATATAAACAACTTAATCATATCACAATGTTTGTTTAATATACAAAATCTGTATTTGCTTCCTTGTAAATGTTGTGTACACCAGTGGAGTGGAAGGCAAGTTCAGAATGGCGTTCTTAAACTTGTTTGTTATTGTGCATTTGACCAGAGGCCTGTACTACAAAGCCGGATTTTCGCTTAGCAGGCTAACTTCAGGGAAAACTCTGGGTTTCCGGTCCTACGAAGCTGGTTCTCTTCTTACCGGGCTAGATCTCCATGGTAACTTATGCTGAACGGCAAACCTGCTCCAGGATAAGAGATCAACTCAGTGAAAGCACCGCCTGCTGACCAATCAGAGCTCAGTGTGCGGAGTTTAAAGCGATCAAGTCATATTACAGGAGAAAGGAAATACAGAAAAACTGCCGTTGCAGGAAAGACGGCCCGGCAAAAATCAACTGACTGTGTGAACGTGAACATTAATAGAATATCACCTCCCATCTTCAGAGCAATCTGACTATTATAACATTAGCGTTAAGAAAGCTTACTTAAATATCTGCCACAACATAAGTAACCGGATCAAAGTAACACTACGTAGCCTACAGTCCGCGGCACTGTGAGTGCAGACGTCGATGTGTCCCATTATCATTCATATCACATCATATCACATCATAATGTATCATATATTTCCTTATCTGAGTCAGCTGAGCCGTATCTGGCCGTGCAACACTCAGTGTCACATACTGTATGCAGAAGTATTATTTTAAGCAACACATTAAGTTGACGAAATAATCGAGTCAATAAGGCGAGACACGGCAGGCAAAAACATCGTTTTTCAAGTACTGGTCAATTTTGAGATTTTGTGCTATTTTGATTCTATAACATGTTTTCTTTCAGGCTTTTGGAAGGAAAACGTACAAAATACACATTTAAGTGTTTATTTTACTATAGTTTGTCTATTTGCGTCTGTAGATTTCTCCTAAATTCACCAAAAGTTAGCATTCTAACGTAACATAAAGTACCGCGACCGCTGTGTGCACCATGTCAACAGAGGTATCGCTGGAAAGCTCCGTCTCTCCTGCACAATCTCATCGGATCCAAATATGGTCATTTCCTTTGTATCAGCAACCAATCGTGAAAGCACAAAGGGGTATTAAACCAAGAAACAAAATCTCATTGGCTGGTGTCAATTTCTGACAACGTGATTCGTTCAGATGCGTCACGTGGTGTGCTAAAACACTTCCTGGTTAGCTTTCCGCTAGAAATTGAAATCTCAAAATGGCAAAAGAACGGCGAAAAAAACGTTCACAGAGAAGACGACAACAATTGTCACTTGCACGAAGCAAGGTTATACACAAAACAAATGACCCTGAACATGAAATACCTTCACGGAGTGCGTCGATGCGCAAGCTGTCATCCAAAGAACAGGAGGGTTTAGCTAGCGCCTCACTGCAATCTTTAAAGGTCGTTTTCTCAAAATGAGTTTTTTCTCCTACTCTGAGTTCGACATTTCAACTTCAGTAGCACGTACATACACCAAACCTTCCAGTTATATTCCTATCAATATTATGAAGGCTTTTACAGAAGGGTTTGTTCATATATCATTCATAGCCTGAATTATACAACATTGTATGTAAAAACATGGCGAAAATTGATATTTTAGGGCTGTTGACAGTATTTTCTGATGTATGGAGTGATAAAAAGAGATATCCAATATCCCTTCAGTAAAAGCCTTAGATGCTAATATGAATACAAAATGAAACAATAATTTTTAACCTGGCTTTATCCAAAGTTCAGATTTTCAATTCCTGAAATGTGTTAAAATATGTGCATATTTAATGAGATAATGGATCATTTGCATATTTAAACATGCTATTTCAGAAACTTGTAATACAAAAAACAATTGCCTTATTGTAAGTAATTAACTGGAGAAATTTCTAGCTGATACCTTTAAGTTAAAAATATTACCCTATTCACCTGGGGTGTCTCGCCTTAAAGTCAGATTGTGTCTTAGACGGCAGTGATATCATAAACCTGTTAATGTACACATTCAAACACTTGTTCTTTTACCAGCTGTATGTGGCTTTTATCCTGGATAAAGGGTTTAAGTCATGGATGTTGAAAGTTAAACGTCTTCATATTTGTCTAATATTATAGTTCAAGTATGACGCTGCGCTGTCAGTAAGCTTGTCCATGTTTGTGATTGGTCAAATGTTGCTAACCCCGCCCCTTTCATGTGAACGCTCTCTCAGCCGGACAGAGAAACCCTGGCTTGAGTTACTGAGTTGATAACCAGCATCGTAGGACCGCTTAGGGAGAACGCGTTTGTTTTGGGTTAGGTAAGCCGGGTAACTCAAACATATCTAGGGTATGTTGAACTGGATTTGTAGTACACACCTCTGATATGAATAGTGAAACGTAAAAAAAATGGCCGATGTAATAAGGGCAGTTCAATGTTGATAGTTTTTACATCTGTTGGGTTCGTTGTTTTTCAGAATCATAATGCTTTGTTTATCCCGGAGGAAATTGTGTTTTGTTTGTATACAATGATTAAAAGAAAATAGAATATACATATAAATAAAACATATTGTCCTACAATATATATCACGTATATAACAATATATACAGTGGTGTTTTAATAGGATCATAATATTGAATTGCACAGTTTGAAAGGGTTTGGCTTTTGATGGTGGAATAAGTCCAGTTCCAGTGTATTGACTTTGAATTCCCAACGTTCTGAGGGAGGAGTTAAACAGTGTGATGGCCACAGGCAGGAACTACTTCCTGCAGGGCATCTTGGTGGAATAAGTCTTGCACTGAAGCCACTCCTGTGCCTGACCTGCATGTCATGGAGTGGGTGGAAGACATTTTCCAGGAAGACCTGTATCTTGAATCTCCGACACTGCTGTTCAACTCAACTTCCACAACATCACTGGCCTTGC